TTCTGCTCTACCCCTCCAGTGCTCACTGGAGTACCAGGCTATATAGGGGGCGGGGGCGGGGGCGGGAGCTGGCTCAGGCTCTTAGCGGCTTGCCATCCGGGTGGATCCAAACATTAAAGATAGAGTGACATCAGCCAACAGCAGACTTTCGCTCGCTGTCGGCTGAATCTGGGCTACAGCAGTGCAGAACAAAATGCACTCCCAGTGGTCCCCAGGAGAAGTAGGGCCAAAAGAACTTTGGTCCTACTTCTCCTTTATGAATGCATTTTTAACATGCAGTTCCCCAGGAATTTTCCCTTTCTTCCCTCTGATTTGCCAGTGCCCCTGAAAATGCTACTGCCCACCTATCTCCAGTTCAGCAAGAGGGTTTCTCTGGAAGGATCAATGTTACCATCAAGGCTTAGCTGTCCAGGACTTGCTCAGTAGTATAAGCCTTTTTTAAAATGTTGTTATTAACTGAAGAGAATGGCCTTTAAATATGTCATCAAAGAATATGGCTAGGGCTGCACTGCCAATTAAATCTCTTTGCTAATTAGAGATTTATCTGTTTGTTGTCAGTAACCAATTTGGTAGTACACTAAAATGAATTCTGGGTGGATAAATCTCTCAGTAGCAAGGAGTTTTAATAAACAATGTAGTCCTAGCCTAATGCACAACAACTCACAGCAACCAGAACTCATGTCTTACCTGGTTGGACTTCAGTAAAAATAGAACCAATTGGACCATTGGTTGCCACCATTTGTACATCTCTGTTTAGCTTTGAGCTGTTTATTGAATACCTTTCACATTAATAACATTTGATATGAAGAAACTGCCCAATCAATAACTTTGACAAATATTGCAATTTTTAATAGTATGCATTGGGCACCAGGGGACCACCAATATTCCCTGTTTGCAAGGAGTGCATTGAAATACAACCATTGGTTAAGACTGGTGAAAAATATCAGCAGCACATATTTGGTTGGGGGGAATGCATTTTCCTTCTATGGGAAGAATCAAGGATATAAAACTCAACTTCAGAATGAAAAGTAACTATTCAAAATTTGTCAACCCCACAATACACCACTTCTGTAGCAGATATGTTTATGTTGAATCTTATTTTACTGATTTTTCGTAGAAAGAAAGTACAATCCACAGTGTATTAAACATACATAATTAAAGTATGAGATTCAACTTCTACGATGTATGTCATAACAGAAAAAATATACACAGTCCATGTAACAAAGTTTACGTTATGGAGTATAAAGTGTAACTGAGATATTTGATAACATTGTAATAAAAGCAATTATATAGTCAGAATTGGGTTCCCTAATTTTTAATTCGATGGGTAAATAGATGCATGCATAGCACAAAATGTATTCAAAGGGTAATGTGTATTTGATAAGGAGAAGAAAAGAAGGAAGGAAAAGGCATAATAAAATGATGCCAAATATGTAATTTCCGGCCTACAGTTTTGAAAGTTTAGGGCTGCAAATATGCATTAAGGAAGGAAGGAAGGAAATTACAGAGCCTAGAACCACCTCTAAGTTTTCCACATGGTTAGAGAAGAATAGGCCATTTAACACTATCAAAAATGTCTGAAGAGTGTCTGTAGCAAGTCCATACTGACCATGTGACCTTATAGGCATCTGATCTGTCATTTTTCCAGAAGATCATTCACTCTATCTGACATAGGGAGTCCATTTCACCCATTTCCCATTCTGTTGATGGGTTAATGACTGATAATAATTTGATAATGATGGGTTGTCTGATTGTACCACATCCTTTTAGACACAGTAATCAGTCTCAGGCATAGCATTGATTATTCAGACTGATAAAGTTAGAGGGTGCTGTCCACCACAGTCAATTTGCAATCTTGTCCTGCGTGATGGATCAGTGCCTTTATTTCATAAACAATTCTTGTCTATATCTAAGAGATATGAATAGTTTTACTGTTCATTCACTGCTAAACCTTCTGGCCATTAGCAAGTGTACCAAAATTGACACTACAGAGCAGATAATTTCAAAAGACCCCTCTGCAGCAATGTAAATACAAAGCCTGTTTTTGTGTCTGTGGTTGTAGCAACTCAAGAATCATGGCATATTTGCTTCAGGAATTGTAGAAAATACATATATCTGCTAAGCTATCAATCCATCTATCTAGAGAAATATTTAAAAAGTGAAATTATTACATGATCTATTGCAATTTTCTAATTATATTTACAGAATCAATGAGTTCATTAATCGTTCTGACATCTACAAATCATTTAATAGGTTTCATGCTGTTCTTCCATCTCGTTTACGCTATATCACTAAAACACTTAAATCCTGCAGTTTTTTAGTTGCCAGAGATGATTAATTGGTGTAGGAAAATCATTTTCCTATGAAATAACAAATGATTGCTTTATAGATCACTTAATGCATTTGTTCCACACATAATGTAATTCTTTTATTGATTTATTTACAAATGCAGTCCACTAGGATTAAAAAAAAAACAAAAAACTATAGATATATATGTACTGATAAACTGTATAATCTCATAGCGCAGTTAGTAAATTAATTATCCTGCAGTATTGTTTTCTTTTTTTGCCTCTAGTCAGCAGTGGATTAAGACATTATTTGGCCCTGAGTAGAACAATATCCACTGTCTAATCACTCTAAGTCAAACTGATGTAGCCATATATGAGTTTTTATTAACTAGGCACAAGAAATGTACATTAATTGGCATGCAGCAACCCATAGCAACCATTTAGAACTTACTTTCACAAATCCATTACTAGTAAGCAGGGGCAGACTGACCATTTGGAAACTTGGGCACTGCCCGAGGTTAGTAGGTGGCCCCATGAGATGCCGCTGGTACCTTTTTCATAGGCTTTTTTGAGTTTGGGCCAAGGACACAGGGGCCCCATGAACCCCTATTGCCCGGGGGCCCCATGAGTTGTCAGTCCCACCCCTGCTACTAAGGTAAAATCTGACTAGTAACTAGACCATTTTTATTAGTAGCAGACAGCAGATAAAAACTTACCCACAGTCCCACCTTTTTTTTCACTGCAATTTTCTGAACTTGAACAGGGAGGGGCTTTGTTGCAGGATTACAGCTCTCTTGCTAAAGGAAAGCCAGGTTAACTTTAAGCTATGTACTCATTGGCTTGCTTGCTAATCTTTTTGGCAGCATAAAAGGAACCTTCCAAAGGTGACTGGGAAAAACTGAATTAAATATTGAATAGACAGACAGCTGAGAAAATCCCAATGGAGCACAGCTTAGTTCTTGCCATCAGTCTCTGTCACTTTGCAATCAAAGTATTGTGCAGTACACTAAAGGTAACTGGAAAAAATTATATTGTTCAATTACATAGTTGCTACATATTTTTTAATCCATATGCATATATTATTTCATCTGTTATCTGGCTGGTCATGTCACATGTCCTCTTTGGTTGTTCTCTGGGGGGGGGGACGGGCTCTGAATAGTGTAGACAAGCTCACATAGTGACTTGGCTTCTGTTCTTTGAATTATTTTCCTGTTAGCCTAGGTCCACATGATGATGCAGCCCCCCCAGTAGTGTGCATCCTGGACACAAATGATATGGTTTGCATATGCTGGCTGCAATTCAACTCAGAAGAAAACTAGCATCATTGGGCAGAAAATTGAGATTGTTGAGGAACTTTACTGGAGACAAGGTGAATATTGAAGCCGTAATTGCCTCTTTATTTTTTACCACCCTGGGCATTTGATTTATTTAAAACATTTAAAACAAGTTCTTCTTTATGGATACTTTGTAACACAGGGACACTTAGGTAAACTGTAGGATTTATACATGTATTGGGCACTGACAGCACTGTACTCAAGAAGTAACATATGTACAAAGTGACAGACAGCCAAACACTGGATCACAGCACTTCATGAAAATATGACTTTTATTGCCAATCTACACAATGCATCATGTAAGAAAAAGAAGAAAAACTGGCATCCCTATGTTAAGTCACAAAACTCAGCATATCATTTAAACATGGTTTGTGAGTCACAAAAAATCATGGCATTTTTAGGTACCAACGTGCCTAGGTATTCTGTGTGATCATAAATATTTATGTACACATACAGAATAATTATATTTGCTCACATCAAAAATTGAGTGCTACAAAACTTAAAAGAATAATGAAGATGAATAAGAAGACATCATTTAGAAAAACAGAAAATCTTCTCAATCTCCTTGATCATTTAAAAACTGCTCTATATTAATAAAACATATGAAACACATTTGCCTAATGTTTACTTTCTCGCCTCCAGCACTTTTTTACTAGAAACGGTACAACAAGCAAAAATGTCTTGCAGTGTTTGACAGTTGTTCTATATATCACAGAGCTGCAAAAAGTTCTGTTCTTTAACTCTGTTGTAATCTTAGGTTCCCATTTCATAGCTAGAACAGATTATGGTTTATTTTTAATAAAAAATATATATATATAATTTTGGATCTGTCAGCTGGCTGTTGTAGGGTTTTACTTCTTAAAGGACAAGGCAACACTCACATTAATTTCCAGGAAACCATTTGCAATTTACAAATAAGATGCACAATATGATAACTAAATCTTATTAGGCATTAGTCAAAAGGCAAGTCTAAAAGCTAATGGGAGACTTTTGGGAGTCTATGGGCACTGCTCAACATAATATAGTCACATTTATAAAGCAGTGATATGGCCTTACCATGACCATACTGCTGCTTAAACCCCCCCCCCCCCCCCCCCCCCCCCCCCCCCCCAAAAAACAAAAACTCACATTGATAAAGCACATCAGCTTGTGCTACAAATGTGTATTGGGCTTTGCTTGCTTTGACAATGCAGGCTTCGCACCATAGCCTGCATTTCGTGAATGGATCACAAAATTCAGGCCTGTGTGGAGTAAAATTGGTATGTCTAGGGTCTGAGATTAGTATCAATATGTCCCTTAGTGTTAATAAAATAGCACAATGGCTCCAGCACTATTATATATATATATATATATATATATATATATATATATATATATATATATATATATATGTACAAACACTATATCCCCTCCAAATCATTGGATTCAGGTGTTTCAATCACCTCCATGGCCACATGTGTATAAAATCAAACACCTAGGCAGACTCCTTCTACAAACATTTGTGAAATAATGGTTCACTCTCAGGAGCTCAGTGAATTCAAGCATGGTACCGTGATAGGTTGCCACCTGTGCAATAAGTCCATCCGTGAAATGTCCTTGCTACTAAATATTCCACTGTTAACTTTTAGTGGTATTACAACAACGTGGAAGCAACTGGGAACAACAGCAACTCAGCCACGAAGTGGTAGGCCACGTAAAATGACAGAGCGGGGTCAGCGCATGGTGAAGCGCACAGTGTGCAACTGTCACTAACTGTCTACAGAATCAATAACTAAAGACCTTCAAACTTCATGTGCCCTTCAGATTAGCACAACAACAGTGCATATAGATAAAAAGATATATGGAGGAGAGCCCCCATAGAAAAGAAGGTACTCTCATGTGACCAGGTAGATTTAATGATACGAAAATCCTTTATTGATTCACATATTACACATATGCACAAGCATGTACAAAATTTGAAAATAATCTCCACCCATCACCATTAAAATATGACAACGTTGTCACTTAAAACTAGGAAAGCCCGGGTAAAATGTAAAATTGTAAGATGTCAATCCCCAAAATGGTATATCAGGGCGTTTTCCTTACTGATTGGTTTGCCTGGAACTTCTATTAGTCTATTGATTCCAAGTTAGGATCTTTTCCCTCTGAATTACTCATAGCACAACCTTTATGAGGGTGGTAGGACTTTTAGGTTTTTGAGTTCCTAATTTAAATGGTGAATTTCTTCAATTATATACATGATTGAGAATTATATAATCTCGATTGATACAAACATTAATTTATATGCATGACTTCATCTCTTTTGGATTAGTTATTCCCCTATTTGCCATGTCTGTGCTCCGCCCCCACACATCTTCTTTACCAGGTCATATGGGATGACTTTGTGGTGGTGAATGTGAGCCTCGTGATATTCCATTTTAGGGATTGACATCTTACAATTTTACATCTTACCCAGACTTTCCTAGTTTTAAGTGACAACATTGTCATATTTTAATGGTGATTGGTGGAGATTATTTTAAATTTTTGTACATGCTTGTGCATATGTGTAATAGATGATTCAATAAAGGTTTTTTGTATCATTAAAACTACCTGGGTCACATGAGAGTACCTTCTTTTCTATGGGGACTGTCCTCCATATATCTTTTTATCTAATGTCTTTTGAGTACTGTGATCCGCACCTTCATTTTTGGTGAGTTAGTTAACACAATAATATTTCATTCCCCTGTGTGGTGTTACAGTGGTTTCATCTGTATAGTCCCCTTTTTTTTATATTTCAACAGTGCATAGAGAACTTCATGGAATGGGTTTCCATGGCCGAGCAGCTGCATCCAAGCCTTACATCACCAAGTGCATGGCAAAGCGTCAGATGCAGTGGTGTAAAGCATGCCACCACTGGCACCAAAGCAGTGGAGACATGTTCTCTGGAGTGATGAATCACTCTTCTCTGTCTGGCTATCTTGTGGATGTGTCTGGGTTTAACAGTTGCCAGGAGTATGGTACTTGCCTAACTGCAGTGTGCCAAGTGTAACGTTTTGGTGGAGAGGGGATTATGATGTTGGGTTGTTTTTCAGGGGTTGGACTTGACCCCTTAGTTCCAGTGATGGGAACTCTTAAGGTGTCTAAATATGAAGACATTTTGGACAGTTTCATGCTCCCAACTTTGTGGGAACAGTTTGGGGATGATCCATTCCTGCTCCAACATGACTGCACACCAGTGCACAAAGCAAGGTCCAATTAGACATGGATGAGAGAGTTTGAGGTGGAGCAACTTGATTAGCCTGCACAGAGTCCTGACCTCAACCCAATAGAACACCTTTTGGATGAATTAGAGTGGAGACTGCAAGCCAGGCCTTCTTGTCCAACATCAGTGCCTGACCTCACAAATGTGCTTCTGGAAGAATGGTCAAACATTCCCATAGACACACTCCTAAACCTTGTGGACAGCTTTCCCAGAAGAGTTGAAGCTGTTATAGCTGCAAAGGGTGGGCCAGCTCTATATTAAACTCTACGTACTAAGACTGGGATGCCATTAAGTTCATGTGCATGTAAAGGCAGGCATCCCAATACTTTTGGCAATATAGCATATATATATTTATATGGTGTCTGGTGTCAACAATTCAAGGTAATATGCCTGATATTTTGCATTTGTAAGAATTAAAACCTCTATCAGGTTTAAAATACTGCTTTGCAGTTTATAAAAGAAATCTGAGAGATTTTATTAGCTGCCTGTATTCCCAAAAAAATGAAATGTCTTTATCTGTGTAATTTAATAACTGTCACCAGAACAGGGAAAGAGGTGAAATCCCCATTATTAGGGCACACAGAGAAATTTTATTCTGATGGCTAGTCTAAGGGCCTGTGTTGGTGGACCTTTGGTCACTTCAGATAGGCTTTTAATTTCCGTACAAGTCTATGAGGATGCAAAACTCCCTTGCAGCAGGTAACATGCCGTTTAGAAGGAACTGCAGGTGAATTGAACCCGTCAATGACTTCTGAATAATCTCAAAATCATCTCAAAATAATTTCAAACTGATATCATGGGGACAAGAAAATAGAAGAAAATAGGAAAATAGAAAAAAAAAAATCACATTTTTTAAATTCCCATTACACGTAATTGGGTATTTAAAGTGAACACTGCTGCCCCTTATCTACTAAAATCAGTGAACATACAATTTGCAAAGTGAACATTCACTTTGTTAAGTGCAAAATCTCTACTACTAATTTAGTATATTAACCCCAATGTGTCTAGCTCTCAGCCCATTCACTGTAGCCAAAGCTGCCAGACATGTACACAATGAAATAAAGATAGATCTTCACCTAGTAGTAGTAGTAGATGTTTCAATAAATTCTTTATTACAAACTTATATGTCCATGTTACAAATCACAAAAATTGACATAGTAAATCTTTTATTAGTTTGAAGCCATGCTAATTTGTAGAGGAAATACCATAAAAATAGTAGTTATGATGGACATGCCACTATAACAACAGAAGTTCTATTTGAGCAGATTTTCTAGTGTAGAAGAGACATTCCTTTTGTCAGCTTTGCGTTTTCATAAACATTTTGGCTTCATAGCTAGTGAATGAGTTTGTAAAGGTTAGAAATACATTTGGGAAAAATGGTTGCAAATGTCTATTGAAGCACCATTGTTGAACAACAAATTCCATAAAAATGTCAGAAGCAACATCAAACTGACCTATTGAATCCTTCCAATGACTTGTTTTACCCCAGAAACATCAATCAAAAGAAACTAGGAATGTTTTAAAGGGACCAAATATGAGTATGTATTGAAAGTGTTTGTAAAAGCTAATTTTTCTTTTTCTTTTTTGGAAAATAACAAACATGTTATATTTACCTGTCTTTGTAATTGTATTGCACAGAGTGGTTTGGAACCTCCTTTTCTGGGGTCCTCCACTGGTGTTCCATGTTCCTCCTCTTCTCAGTTTGCATCCATAAGAAATTGCTTCCTATGGGGGTGCTCCTGCAGACTTGATGCCGAGCCAGGATCAGACCTACCCCCAACTCTCTGCTCATAGAATCTGATTGACAGCAGCATGAGCCAATGGCTCCCACTGCTGCCTATGTGAGCAGAGAGAGAGAGGAGAAAACCACTGTAAATGGGCACAGTGCTAGATTGAGATAGGACTTGGGTAGGTATAAGGGGGCAATACAATTACTGGGACATTTTTTACCATAATATAGAGACTGTATTAAAGATAAAAAATGTTGAGCCTTTAGAGCCACTTTAAGTCAAATTTCAGGCCAAATCAATGAGCCTGTGTTGGTCACTTTTTTTTCTAATATTGTATATTGATTAGGCTTAGTTTGGGTGCAGATCAGGAAAGAGTTGAAGTGGGTTGTGCATTATGCATTGTACAGATGCCCACTGTGCGACTTACTCTGATACTGTCCAAAATATAATATGAGTTAAAGAACATTCAAACCATGTAGCAAGCGCTTTACCTCACATTTGGGCTGGAATTTACTGCAGATGATACAGATATAGCCTAAACATGTATAAATAGGTGTGGAATTGAGAGTGAAATGCAAAATAAATAATAGTGTTTCGCTTGAATTTGGCAGCTGCAATGTTCCCAAGTAGATACAGTACTCCCAATAGGCCTGAGGTTCAAATGTGAAACAGTAAACTGTAATACAGAGCTGTGCTTTCCGACAATGAATGGTGGTAATAAAGAAGGAAAAAACAATCTGTAAATGGTAGACTGAATACTCACTAACAATATTCACATGAAATGAAGTAAATAAACTGTATCCAGTGTAGATCACGATAATGATTCAATGCAGTGTCACTGTAACATGAGAAGTAGCTGTGGGAGTGATGGAAGTATTGCGGTAATCCTCTTTAGGGAAAGTGAAAGCCGACAATCCTCTTTGATATGGCAGTATCTAGCAAAAAGGAATGCTAAGCAGCAGTAGAAGTATAATGTACAATCTCAGTACTTGATGTTAGGCTGACTGGACATCGCTGTGGCTAGTAGGTCAGTAAGTCAGCTATGCAGAAAGAAGTCCATCATATACACACCATGTGCATTTTTGTGTAGATACAGCAATCCAACACCCCCATGCAGAGTCAAAAGCAGCATTCTCCAATATCAGAATAAGGAGCATAAGTTTTGCTGATTGCAGAGCTATATGCTCTCCATGTGATCAGCTATGAAAGCAGCTATTTGATCGTTTGATAGTTCAGTTGAGAGCTAACATAAGCACACCAACATCTGCCTATGCAGATAAGGGGCATCTGTAGATAAAAACAAACTGTGCAGCTGTGACTGAAGGTAAATAATGCCCCTGCTATAGATGTAGGCCATTTCTGTACCTCATGAAGCCTGACCTGAAAACCCTTTAAGGTTTGGGTTTTAAAGGTTTAAAGCTAGATAGATGGTTTAGTTGGGTTTGGGTTTCCAAAAATGTAATGTGAAAGTAAACACAGGATACTCACAATTCTTACATTCAATCAGTTGCTCCACAATATTTTAGTATCTGTTGGATGATCGCAGGCAAAGGAATGCATCAGACTAAAGCTGGGTATACATATATCAAAAGATGGCAGGTTCAACAGGACTTTCGGTGCATGTGTAACGCTGTCTTTTTGACAGAAACCAGTCTAACGCCTGGCTTCTGTTGAAGAGTCATGCTGAAAAAGCAGCATTCGATGAGCACTTGCAGCCAAAGGCTGTAGCGCTGATCTGTGTATTCTAATGGAGGGGAGAAGCCCCCCTGTTAGAATGCAATAACTCATCAGGATAGATCCCTGCATACACATCATTTCTGTTGATGCAGGGATCTGTAATTTTTTTTTTTTATTCAACCTGCTAGTTGAATTTAAAAAAAACTGAACGTGTATACTCTGCTTAACACAACAACCTGATCTATTATAGTGTGAAATCAGAAAAGTGCAGTGAACTGGCTTCACTTCAAACACCCAAGCATGCACCTGGAAACATAACCAATAAAACTTTGCAACTGGGTATTATAGGTTACCCTTAGTGCGGTTCACTGCATTTCACATATTAGTAAGTCAGGCCTATTGTCTCCAGCCACCAGGTGGAAGACAATGAATGACAAAGTGAAGATGGTGTTCTAATGTAAAAAAGGTCCTTTATGGTTCAATGTATACTTTGTGCAAAATCTAAAAATGTCAGCTTAGACTTGGCACCAGTATATAACAATACTAGTAATTTTAAACATTTCACAGAAGAAGGTACTGTCTTTTATGATACCTCTTTTACAATACATAATCTCAATGGTGCATAACAGCAGCAAAGAGAGTGGGCATAAGGCATTTTTCACTGAATACAGGTCTCTTTGAACATCTGACTTATGCAGTAAAGAAGGTGGGAATGCAACTGTGTAGTGTAAAAAGGCCTAGTCTCCAAAGAAAAGATTAATGGATGTGGAAGTTATATTATGAGACATGTTCAGGCACTGACATTAGCACTAATACTTTAGAGGTCATGTCATTTAAACTGCTTTCAAGGAAGCTGTTAATCCTTGGAAAGCATAATACAGTCTAGAAAAATGTATTTATTTTAATATCAAACCTTTAGGAGATTCCTACAGCTCATTGCTCTTGGAAACATCTAGTTCTGAAGAAATAGTAAAGTGCCGTACACAAGGCCCCAGGCCTAAAATCAATAATGGGACATGACAAAAGGTGGAAGACAAATGAAGTGTAAATTCTCCACATTTTATAATGCTACTTTTTCTAAGTAAGGCATTTGGCAGAAAGTACTATGGTTTACGTGACTTTTTTTCCCATAGCAGAGAATATATTTACTTACTATCAATACATATTTATTAAATAAATACAGGATGGATAGATAGATAGATAGATAGATAGATAGATAGATGTAGACCACTGTGTGGAGTGCAAACGGAGTGTCCAGGGGAACGTTTAGTGTTATTAAGCCCTTTAACAATAATAAAATAGCAAAATGGCTCCAACACATACTACATCAGTTATGGTGGCAATAATTTAATGCAATGCATACTTTTTACTGTAGATAATTGCAAAAACAGATCAACTTTTTATAAATAATGTTTTATTATGTGAAAACATTATCCTTTGCATAGTTTGCAAGTACAGTGTCTAAGTGATTAGCACTTCTGCCTGGCAGCACTAGGGTTGTCAATCTTAATTCAAACCACAGCACTGCCTGCCTGGAGTTTGCCTGTACCTGCGCCAGTTTCCTCCGAGTACTCTGGTTTCCTTCCACACTCCAAAAGACATGCTGGTAGGTTATTTGGCTCCAGTCTAAACTGGCCCTTGTATATGTATGTATAAATGTGAGTTAGGGACCTTAGATTTAAAGCTCCTTGGGGGTAGGGCATGAATATGAATGTACACTATAAATGTAAAGTGCTGCATAAACTGTGGGTGCTATATAAATACCTGTAATAATAATTATATACACACATGGGTCAACCACTTTTATTCATTACCTGCTTAGGTTCTACTTCTAGCCTTGCAGTACCACACAATGGTTGTGCTTCACTGCTAATTTTTATAATGCAAGTCTATGTAGGAAATTTTAATTAAAACGGTGCACAATCTGGTGCAGCTGTGCATAATAACAAATCAACTTCTAACTTCAGCTTGTTCAATTAAGCTTTGACAAAAAACCTGGAAGCAGATTGGTTTCTATGCAGAGTTGCACCAGGTTTTGCACGGTAGTGTTGGTAAATGGTATACAAAAGCTCTAATCAGTTTATTGAATAAGATGGTATGGGCCCTCAAGGAGCCTTGGGCCCTTATGGCCTACTCAATCATCAACAGAAACCTGCTACTGGATACTGTTTCAGTGCTAAGTCTATTTGATTAGTTAGTTAAATTCTGTACAAGATATTCTAGATTTCACCCAAACGTATTGCTCACTATAAAACAGAGAATTTTCCTCAAAACATTCAGTGAACATAGGTAAGTTATCAAAGGTGGACTATCTGATTGCTTTATATTGTGCATTCCAGTACATGTAGTGTATATACTCATACATATATTGTACTGTATGTATATATATATATATATATATATATATATATATATATATATATATATATGTATATAATAGTAAAGTATACTATACTTTTTGTTTATTCTTTTTTTTTTTCCAATCATGTTTACTCATTGTAGTGCTCATAGTGCTCACTCTAACATTTTCTCACAGATTTGTTTTTCAAACAAAACAGAATCTTTCATCTAAGCAATCCCATCCCGACCTTTAATCAATCTTTGAGGAAAATGTCAGAGCTCTGCTCTAGAGGACAAACACGCATGTAGCATTATTTTGCTATATAGTATACAGAACACATTTCTTTCCCAGACGGCAGTACTTTACTGTAGCTTTCTACACAGACTACACATATTAACTATACCATAATGTATCCATTGAATGATTAGCATTTTTTCTTTCTCTATTGCCAATACAATTTGCAGTGCAATACAATTAAATTCAAAAACATTCATTCCTTACTTTATACTGGCATAAATACAGCACAGATAAAAACCTAATTATCCAAAAGAAAAAAAAAAATATTATATATATATATATATATATATATATATATATATAAATTGCCAATTGCCAAGTGCACCAATCACCTCCATGGCCACAGGTGTATAAAATCAAGCACCTAGATATGCAGACTGCTTCTACATACATTTGTGAAAGAATGGGTCGCTCTCAGGAGATCTGTGAATTCAAGCGTGGTACTGTGATAGTTGCCACCTGTGTGATAAGTCCATCTGTGAAATTTCCTTGCTGCCAAATATTCCATGGTCAACTGCTGGAGGTATTATAACAAAGTGGAAGCAACTGGGAACAACAACAACTCAGACACAAAGTGGTAGGTCATGTAAAATGACAGAGCGGGGTCAGCGCATGCTGAAGCACACAGTGCGCCGAAGTGGCCAGCTGTCTGCAGAGTCAATAGCTAAAGACCTCCAGACTTCATGTGGCCTTCAGATTAGCACAACAACAGTGCATAGAGAGCTTCATGGAATGGGTTTCCATGGCCGAGCAGCTACATCCAAGCTTTACATTACCAAGTGCAATGCAAAGCATCGGATGAAGTGGTGTAAAGTACATCGCCATTAGACTCTAAAGCAGTGGAGACGTGTTCTCTGGAGTGGAGAAACACACTTCTCTGTCTGGCAATCTGATGGACGTGTCTGGGTTTCACGGTTGCCAGGAGAACAGTACTTGCTTGACTGCATTGTGCCAAATGTACAGTTTGGTGGAGGGGGATTATGGTGTGGAATTGTTTCTCAGGGCTTGGGCTTGGCCCCTTAGTTCCAATGAAGGGAACTCTTAACCTCCCTGGCGGTATGATTATTTCAGATTTTTGGTGCTGAAAGTGGTACCATTATTTTGCATGGAAATTTGGGGTTTTATATTGTAGGCCTGTAATTCTTAGGAATAACTCACTGAAATCTGTCCGAACAAGAAACTAGTAAACATCCCGGGTAGGATAAAACTTGAAACACGAAATCATAAATTATAATTTAATAAACAATCATAAAAAATAATAATATAATAATAATACATTTAATTCAATAATATAATCAAACCAAAAACACTGAAATTTGAAATAGAGCGCCAAGTTCGCACATCACTGAGCAAAGTCGCAAAATTGTTTTCAGTGTCTAATGATGAATTCCCCCACAAATCATTATCACTCAATTCTGCAAGTGGTTCTGATTTACTATCGCTGTTCACAAGGTTGGTCTAAAACCGCTTTTGACCTAAAGGGACGCTTTTTGGACGCCATGGACATTTCTCAGTTTCCAGGCAATAAGAACAGTAAAAATGCAGGCAGGGCACAGGACAAAGCACTAGGGACAAAATGTATGTGAAATGGTTTGATACAGTAATGTTTTACTATGTGATTTTAGTGATTTTAATGAATGTCACTTTTTGTCATTTTCAAATTTCCCGCCGTTCCGTCCCCCGTACATCCCGACGCTCGCAGGGGACGGAACCCAGAAGACAGATGTTGGCATCTGCTGGATTACATTGCTGGGGACACTGCAGGAGGGACATCGCGGGAGCGCAGGACAAGGTAAGTGATCGAGGGATCTCGGAGCAGTGCCGCATGGTATTCCCGAGGTTACCGCTTGTGCTACTGAAACTTTACCCCAAGCTACACTCGGGAATACCGCCATGTTAAAGCATCAGCATACCAAGACATTTTGGACAATTCAATGCTCCCAACTTTGTGGGAACAGTTTGGTGATGTTCCTGTTCTAACCTTACTGCATGCTATTGCACAAAGCAAAGTCCATAAAGACATGGCTAAGCGAGTTTGGGCTGGAGGAACTTGATTGGTCTGAACTCAATCCAATAAAATACCTTTGGGATGAATTAGAGCGGAGACTGCGAGATAGGCCTTTTCGTCCAACATCAGTGCCTGACCTCACAAATGCGCTTCTGGAAGAATGGTCAAACATTCCCATAGACACATTCCTAAACATTTTGGACAGCCTTCCTAGAAGAGTTGAAGTTGTTATAGCTGCAAAGGATGGGCCACCTCAATATTAAACCCTATGACCTAAGACTGGGATTCCATTAAAGTTCATGTGCGTCTCAATACTTTTGGCAATATAGTGAACAGTGTGTGTATATATATATGAAATGGAAAACCAAAGCCTTAAATTTTGGAAATACAGGGCTGCCATTGCTGACCTCGTTTTGAAAATACTTTAAAGCAATATTCTCTAACCCTAGAAGGCGTGTATGGCATCTTGCTGAGGTGCTAAAACAAATCATTAGAACTCTGTTAAGAACAGTTTAATGTGTTATGAATCTCTATATGCACTCTAGGAGATTTATACCGGTATGGCCATTTGTTATAGTACATAAGCCAATAACACTATTCATATTGCCTGCCCACAGTTGATGGCTCAGAGAATATTACAGGAACTTTAACATACATATTTATAAATAGATACCATACATTGTATTCTAGCAAGGACATAGCTAAATTTTTAAAGAGGGAAATGGCTATATGTAACTTTCACTTGTAAGTAAAGCTTACTGTATATTAAAAATGTTCTTCGGAGGGAAAAATACATGGAAAAGCTGTTTCAGATTATATATGATTAAATATTTCAGTCTGAATCCTGATTCACAAGGCAAGGAACACTTCAACAAGCTGGGAATGTCTCTTGAGATTTTTATTTCAAACTTGTCTAGAAATGCAAAAGCAGCTTTTACCCTGGAGTGTGCAACCACTAAGCTTTACAGAGGATCTCAGTGTGCTATGCCGTTAAGGTTTAGAAATCAAAATTTGAAAGCTCTTGTATGTTTCTACAGAAATGTTAAAAATATTTCTGGCCTATGATTATATTAGTGGGAGCTACAGACAACATCTTTATTACATCCCAGTTAAATGTTATACATGCAAATAATATTATAGTCCAAAGGATAAAGAAGTGACCATGGGCCAAGTTTCCTTCAGCTTACTTTGCAAATGCTATCCTATGGTCCTACCAAAGTCTGTACATCCAGTATCAATAGATCACTGACAGGCCGCACAATTAATAAACACAGTTGTGTAGTGACACCTGACCCCACTGGCTAGAATAAAGATTAGTCTTTAGGCTGTAGTAGGTGATGAAGCTGAACCTCAATCATTCCCATTTTGTCACATGGGTCTGTGAAGTGTTATATAGTACGAGTTGCATCATTAGCATACATATGAAAACAGCAAAATGTATATTTTTTTTAGAATTGTATCTTTGGGAAGATACCTCTCCCTCTCCACTGGCACTTTCCCCTCCCCTCTAAAGCACGCGCACATCACCCCCATACTCAAAAAATCCTCCCTTGACCCCACTGACCTTAAGAACCTTAGACCCATCTCCCTGCTGCCATTCACTTCCAAGCTCCTTGAGCACCTGGCCTACAATCGCCTAAGCACCCACCTCACTGATAACAACCTCCTTGACCCTCTACAGTCCGGCTTCCGTCCCCTGCACTCCACCGAAACTGCCCTACTTAAAATCACTAACGACCTGCTAACCGCCAAAGCCAATGGCCACTATTCTGTCCTCCTGCTTCTTGACCTCTCCGCGGCCTTCGACACTGTTGACCACCCTCTCCTCCTTGCTAAGCTGCACTCCCTTGGCATCAGGGACGCTGCTCTCTCCTGGTTCTCCTCCTACCTTTCCCAACACTCCATCAGCGTCACCTATAACACTGCCACCTCCCCCCCTCCCTCCCCCTCTCTGTCGGAGTCCCCCAAGGCTCTGTCCTCGGACCCCTCCTCTTCTCCATCTACACCTCCTCCCTTGGCAAACTAATACACTCCCACGGCTTCATTTACCACCTCTATGCCGACGACACACAAATTTACCTCTCCACCCCCCACATCACCCCCTCATTCTCCGCCCGCATCGCCCACCTCCTAAATGACATATCAGACTGGATGTCGCTCCACTTCCTCAAACTTAACCTGTCCAAAACCGAGCTCTTGGTCTTCCCCCCACCCCGCGCCCCCCCACCCATCCTCTCCATCACTACTAACAACACCACCATCACTCCCACCCCAACATGCCAAAGTCCTGGGTGTCACTCTGGACTCCCACCTCTCCTTCCTACCCCACGTCTAATTTCTTTCAAGATCCTGCAGGCTCCACCTCTGCAACATCTCCAAGATACGTACATTCCTCACCCCGGACACTACCAAACAACTCGTACACTCCCTCACCATCTCACGCCTGGACTATTGCAACTCCCTTCTCACTGGCCTACCCAAACAAATGCTATCCCCACTCCAGTCGATCCTGAATTCAGCAGCAAGACTCATCCACCTCACCAACCGCTCCACATCTGCCACCCCCCTCTGCCAATCCCTTCACTGGCTCCCGATTGCCCAACGCATCAAATTCAAACTGCTAACCCTGACCTACAAAGCCATTCACAACGCCGCCCCAAACTTCCTAACCGACCTGATACCTAAATACCACCCTACCCGTGCCCTTCGCTCCTCACAGGACCTCCTACTCTCTAGCTCCCTGGTCTCCTCCTCCCACGCCCAATTGCAGGATTTCTCCAGGACCTCCCCCATTCTCTGGAATTCCCTACCCCAGTCCATTAGACTGTCTCCTACCCTCATCACCTTCAGGCGCACCCTGAAGACCCACCTCTTCAGGGAGGCCTACCCCACCCTCACCTAACAACTGACCTCCTCCACTCCTCCTACCACTTCATTCCCCACAGCCATTTCCTCCTGTACCACCTTCCCCTCCCTCCTAGATTGTAAGCTCGAAAGAGCAGGGCCCTCGAAGCCCTTGTGTATTGTATTGTTTCTGTCCTGTCTCATGTTCTGTCCCCCTGCTATTGTACAGCACTGAGCAAACCCTTTGGCGCTATATAAATACTATATAATAATTTATTGGAGTAAAACTGGCAATGCTGGTTATTCTCTTGATCCTTTGAAGAAGTCATGTGGTTAGTGACGCAACACATCTGGTAGAGATGGTAATATCACTTCCAGTCTCAAGGGAAAACTGGAAGTTGGTGAGAAACTGCTTCTGTGCATAACTCTACTGAATCATATTACTTGCTATTTAATGTAAGTGTATTTTTAGTGAATAAAAAATAATTTTTTAAATGTATTACGCTATTGGCGATTTTCCCGTTTATTTCTTTTATTGCCCCTAGCTGCTGCAAGCTCGGGCTTGATCTCTTAAAAGGACCTGCACATCCATTTTTTGGGTCTAGGAATTATATTTTGGTGGATAAGATCTCATATATATTATCCGGATAAAGAGCATATGACTTGTGTGATAGATCTTGAAGTGAATGTGTAATCTGCACAGAGGTGTAGCACTGTATATTCTGGAGTGTAGTGGAGCATGGGAAAGGCATCATGTGTAATTATGTTTCACTCTTTGATATTATATGGACTTGTGTCTTGTATATTTATACACATTGAGCTGGGTTGACAGCACTAGTTCTGGGAGAGCAACTGTAGACGGTTTAGGTTGTATGGAATCTTGAATTAATTTTATATATTAACAGTAATCAGCCACTTTTACACCTCATTATTGAGTACTGGTGTTATTTTATCACTCACTTAATTACATGGTAAGTTTTATGTATATGTGTAACTTTGCTTTCTGTTTATTTTTTCATTTGAAACACATACTGTAAGAGCTAGTATAGGAATATTGAGAGTATTGCATAATTTGTACTTAAGAGGTGATTCGTGTTTTATCGCAGAGATTTCTATTTATTGTTTTAAGA